TTCACAATGGTCTATTTGCAGTACTGCAATTGGAATAATTGCAAGGAGGAAAATTTTACGGTTAAAGTACTCTTAAGTAAACATGTCCCTGATTATCTTTCCAGGGCTCTGATAATGCCAGAAGATGAACGCACGGTCCGTATGAACCATCTGAGGAGACGTGAGCAGCTTAATGACGTCGACAGCTGGATGAAAGCGTTCCTCAAAGCTATGGACTCCCTGGAGGAAGAAGCTGATGACATTGGAGCTACATCCATGCAGCCCGTCACTATCGACGATTTCGATGAATATTTGTCGAAGTAAGTTAACCATGTTTCATCCTAATTACCTCCTAAGTAAGCTCGTAACTGGATACGAAAATGGCGCGTATAGAATTGGCTTTTTTCCAGCAGTGAACCTTGACATCCGAGAGTGATTAAGATAAAGAAACAAATATACCTAATAATTTACTCCCGAATACTCCTAATCGGCCAAAGTAGAGCAAAGTCTAATTCTTATTTTTTATGCACTAGATACATCGGCTACACGCAGAAGTTGGCGCTTCTACTGGACTACGACGGAACCCTAGCGCCCATAGCGCCCCATCCAGACCTGGCGACCCTGCCATTAGAGACCAAACACACGCTGCAGAGACTCTCCAACATGTCCGATGTTTATATTGCCATTATTTCTGGCAGAAACGTCGATAACGTTAAGAATATGGTGAGCTTGCACGGTCACTTACTAGAATAATACGTTACGATATTTGGGATTCAATGATCGATTAATGGGAATAGAAGGTCTTAAAGCTTCATTAAACAATTGATTTCTCGTGATTCGTAATTGAAGACAAAGAAGAACAAAGGTCGCGATTACTAGTTGACATTACTAATTTGGCATAATCCCTAATCAATTTTGTTTGTCGTAACAACCGTATTAAGGTCGAGTTAATCCAAATATTTATATAAGAAACTAGAATAAACTCGATATAAATATGTATCTGGTACATGACGAAATTAAACGAGAATTTTACAAAGGTTATCGAGTTAGTGCACATCAAATCTCTGTTCGGTGGAAAAATATTCACATAGGTACGGTTAATCAATGTATTTTATTTAACTTTTGGATCTGACGATCGCCTTTGCTGGCATTCATATTTAAGAAGTTCAAAATAGGATCTACAGTTTAAGAGACAAAGCAGATGTAATTTTTTGTGTGAAATTTCCAGTATTGGTATTTTGGTTGACCAATAATTATTTACACTATATACATTACAATGCTTAAAAGGCTAGAGAAACATTAACAAGTACAAGTACAAAAATTATAGGATAGGTACAGCACGGTACACAACATAAAAAACCAATATAGTACAGGAAAACTATAACACCTAGTTTAAAAATTAACACAAAAGATTTTAGGTATCCTTCAGTTTTTTTATCTAAAATAGATACTGGCAAGTTCAATGAGTCTTGAAAAACGGGAAGTTAAGATTAGATACCTAAGTTACTCAAGAATGACTATCAGCACTGAACATAACTATCGTAATTACAGCGGTAATATGAGCATACTCACTGAAACTATCTTGCTTTGCAAATAAAAACAAGGTCCAATATATCGAGGTGAACTTTGACAGCCATTATCACGGTTTAAAACAAAAATATTTACATATATTGTTCATTATATACGTACCTAGCACCCTTGATAATGTTATTACAACCGGGTTATGAACCCACTATGTACTTGTGTCATTTGTGCTCGTATAGGTATGTTACGTAATATTTGTGTGGCAGCCATGTTTGTCAATGTAATTCTATGTCAAACATGCAGCCTGTTGCTGAGTAGATATAAATAGGTACCCGTGCAATTTAACAATGAAGTGGAAATTGTACTAATGTATGACGCTTTGGAAACGTTAATGTTTTTATTTAGTTACCTTGAGGTAGGTTTCAGTAAAATCAATAAAGCAGTTAGAAGTGATGTTAATGTCTGTAAATAGATTAAGGTAGGTACAGAAGAATGAATAAGCTTCAAATCCAAAAGGTTTGATCAAAACCAAAGCAAAAACCATTATGACCACCTTATTTGAAACACAGGTTCGAAGTTACACAGAAAATTTTGAACAGTCATAACACAGGGTCAACTCGAGCAAGTCTGTCAGCGCTCTCCCTCTCCCTACTCTAAACTACTCTATTTTAGAATTATCGAAGTTTACTTTGCCTTCTAAACATTATCAATTGACATATTCTTCTCAGGTGGGCATCGAAGGTATCACATACGCGGGTAACCACGGTCTGGAGATCCTGCACCCTGATGGATCCAAGTTCGTGCACCCCATGCCCATGGAACTGCAGGATGCCGTCGTTGATCTGCTTAAGGCCCTGCAAGAACAGGTGAGAAATTATCCTTATAAATACAATAGGAAGGTTTAATAGCAACCAAGACTAGGTGCAGTTTAAAGCGATTTCGTGAATACCAACGATAAAACTAAAAAACTGAATGTAGTAATGTAATTGATTGTTTCGTCTTTCCAGGTTTGCAAAGATGGCGCTTGGGTAGAAAATAAGGGTGCCCTGCTAACATTCCACTACCGAGAGACACCTGTGGCGAAGCGTGCTGCGCTGGCAGAACAAGCCAGGAAGCTCATCACGGAGGCAGGGTTTACACCAGCACCTGCGCATTGCGCCTTAGAAGCTCGCCCACCAGTGGAGTGGGACAAAGGTAATATTAACCAAATTATATTTCACTGAGGCTTCAAATTGTCTGTCGGCGAATTCCTATAAATCGTATAATTTTTTGAGTTTATCGACACTACATAGACAAGGAGACGCGACGGTGGACTTTATTTTATAATATATGAGGACTAGTGGACCTACGAACTACTCATTACGAAACATGAACCAACATTACATCATCATTATAATAACATATTTTCAGATGAACTTTGACTGAAATCTAGTTAAAGATAATATTTTATTTGAATGATAATATTTTACAGGTCGCGCATCTATTTATATCTTGAGGACAGCTTTCGGTTTAGACTGGAGCGAGAGGATTAGGATTATCTACGCTGGTGATGACGTCACCGATGAAGACGCCATGCTGGTAAGTAGCAAAACGTTTTACTACAATCCAAACTTCAACTTAACAGCGAGGGACAAACAATAAGCATAGCTACCACTTTCGGTGAATAATAAAATGATAAACTTATACTCACCTCATGTCGTCTTCTATTCCAGGCGCTGAAAGGTATGGCAGCAACATTCCGTATCGCGTCGTCTCACATCACGAAGACTTCAGCAGAGAGGCGGTTGTCATCAACGGACTCAGTGCTCGCCATGTTGAAATGGGTGGAACGACACTTTTCCCGCCGCAAGCCGCGCGCCAACTCGTTGACGTACAAAAACGCGCGAAAAGCTCGTGACACCATACAAATGCACATGTCATACCAAATGCCCGCCAAAACGTCGCCACGTCACACGCCGCCCCTCACACCGGACAAAACCTCCAGCGGCTCAGAGTCCAGCTAAACTGTATTCAACTTGTGACACTTGTGTATTGACTTACTAGACTCGACTTTGAATCGCATAATAAGTTCGTAGAATAGATACATAGTATGTTCTTATATCTTCTTATGTCTCGTCTTACCTATCGTCTCCATCATGTCTAGTGTGTCAATGCATCGACGTTATTTATCCTATCAGTGTAATACATAAGCGTCGTGTTATTTAATTCCATAGGTAGTCATTAATTTTTCATATCATTCAATGATGTATTCTATTATAACAAAATAACTATACCGAGGCTTCATATAAATTTTGTGAAAATTCATTGTGAAGTTAACTTCGTTCGAATTCGAATTGAAAAAAAAATGTCTCCTTGCCAAATATATTTGAAATGTGTGTAGAAAATTGAATTATATCTCGATGTGAAATTAATACCTATATTAATCGCACTTCTTGATCATTACACTAACAACAGAGTTAGTCAGTATTTGAAAGTAAAACGTTCCTGCAGCTTTAATATTTAGGGAATAAAAACGACGCTCTTTTTTAATTTCTAAAAAACTATATCTGAAATTATTCAGGGTTATTCACTGAGATCATAATTTAGTAAAATTGACTGAATAGTATTTATAAATTATTTGTCTAAATTATACTCTTGAGGACCTATCATTAACGTTGAAAATTTGATGTTATCGAAGTTAAAAACAAGATGGCCGCCCTGACATTATGTTGTTCTAGTGTAGACTGCTTCAATTCACGTGTAGCGTTACGTTGCATGCCATTTAGAGTTACGATTTATTTATGTGATAGATTAGTGATAATTCGTTTGTAAGATTGCGTAATGATTTAATCGTACAATACGTATAATGTAATGAGATTAGTGCACAAGTTTACTATGAAAGCACGGTCCGTAGTGATCCAATGCATTTCTAATACCAACTATATAATAGTGTAACTGCAATCATTTTATAATGGATTTATATTAGTGTTTTATTAAACGTATTAAAATATTTCAAATATCAATAACATAAGTGTATTTATGCATCTTTACTATTTAAACACCTTGATATCTGACTTGGAAATCTCTATGTTGTAAATAATGTGATCTATACCATAATAGTGTGTAATACATGACTAGTCTAGACGGTGTACATGCCTATATGTTGTAGCGGCAAAACACGCACTGAAATGTCTCGAATTTGTATCACCTTGTATTTTTAGATACATATTGATGTTTTGAGGATACCAATAAAAATTTCATGAGACGGAAAATATTTGTTTTAATTAATAATAATAATAATAGGTATAATATATACAAAAACGATCATCTACAATCTTAAAAAGTACTGACCGAACGAGTCGATGTTGTTTTAAAACTGGAATGTTTACATTGTGCCATAATAATGCTATAGGTGTCCAAATGAACGTAACATCGATGACGTGTTTTTAAAATAAATACATTAGTTAAAGTACAGTCAAGGGGTGATCCACTTAATTAAACATATTCACAAATTACGCTAGCCACTAGACAGTCTGTATCACAATGTCCTACACGTTACTGTGCGAGACGACGAGCCACGATAGGATGAAGTAGAACAGGCAGATGGGGTATACTGCCAACGCTTTCTTTCCCTCCGGCTGACTGTCGCCCAGGAACTTTGTCGCAGCTGCAAATATAAATAATGACGTCATTAGTAGGTACATTCTATTCTAAGTTCGATCCGACACTACAATGCACTATACAGGAGGTAATCAAAGTTAAAAATGTATATTTACTCTCAATATTCAATAACTAGTCAAATTGGGTACTTTTCTTAATCAAAAATAAATTGTTTCGACTGTTGAATACAATATAATATAAAAAAAAGAATCACACTTTTATTAATTGATTTTATGACTAACGTAAATTTTAGTATTTTTTCAGCAAATGTTTGAGAAATAAATACATATATTTATTTCACTAATACATATATTTATTTCACGTTTTGTCACAGCATACTGTTTGACGGTAAAAAAACGTGACATCACAATACACAATCAAACTGTCGTTTTTGACAGTTAGAAAAAAGTATTGAATTTGACTAGTTGGCTAGTACCCAATTAACAATAAATATTACTCTCTATGTTTGACACTAAACACGAAGTTACAAAATCTGTAGGTAGGATAAAATATTATATTCTTTCAGTTTTTCGATATTTATTAGGTACTCTTGATAATGGTAACGAGTTTATGACTAGCAAAAGTAGGTTTATGTGTAGGCAGGACATAAACTTGCTATGCGAGTTATTGAGTCACATTGGAGTCTGGCCTTACATAATGGAGACATTTACACAATTGCCTACTTATATCTACAAATCAAAACCAAAACGATTTTTTTATTTTTTTTTATGTCATAAGCCGGTAAACGAGCAGACGGATCGCCTGATGGTAAGCAATCGGCGTCGCCAATGGACACCTGGAACACCAAAGGCGTTACAAGTGCGTTACCGGCCTTTTGGGGATCAGGAGTTTGAGGATCGTTGAGGATTCAGGAATTGCGGAGATTGGGGAAGGGGAGGGTAATTGGGCCTCCGGTAACCTCACTCACACGAACACAACGCAAGCATTGCTTCACGTCAGTTTTCTGTGAGGCCGTGGTATCACTCCGGTCGAGCCGGCCCATTCGTGGCGAAGCATGGCTCTCCCACACTTAAAATTATTAGTTTGGAATATCAATAAATATTATTAACTACACATAAACTGCAGTACTTAGGTACTTACTAATTAACAACTCTATAATACACTGTAATCAGCCAATGGCAAACCGTTACTAGTACTAAAGTACCTACCCATGTTATCGATTTTTAAGCGGTTCGTGACGTCATAATACGCGATACCTTCCGTAATTTGAAACCTAATCAAGTTATTTGCATTATTAAATAGGGGCCTCCAGAAGGGTTAAAGAAACGATTAGCGTTTACAGAACCAACTAAGCGTGATATTTTATAAGTTAGGGCGGCAAACGAGCTCCACTGCAGCCGGCTTCCTTGAACCAGCCAATCAGATTGCCGAACGCGGTTTCGTTTCGATTATTTTAAACGGAAAACAAATTCGTACTAAGAGTACCGACGGATCATAACGTCACGATGGTAAGCAATCGGCGGCGCCTCAAACACTCGGCGTGCGGCACTCGACGCACTCGTAACTCCTCTAGTGTTAAATAAATAAATAAATATAATAAAAAAGCCATATATTTCTAACAATATACAAAGAATAAAAAAAATATAATTATAACACTAGAGGAATAACAAGTGCATTGGGGAGTAGGGCTGTTGGGGCGTCAGGGATTCGAGAATTGGGAATTAAAGATGGGGGTAGGATTGAGCCTTTAGCCCCACACGACGAAACACAACGCAACATCGTTTCACGCACATTTTCTGTTCGGCCGTGGTATCACAACGGTCGAGCCGGCCTAATCGTGCCGAAGCAAGGTGTACTCACCAAATGTGGCCCAAATAAATCCGATCATGGATATGACGAGCCTCAGGAAGAAGAGGAAGGTGGTCTGCGTGGTGAAGAGTATCACGCGACACACCACTAGTGACAGAGCCACCGGGAACATGCAGTATCCCAGCACACACACTGACTGGAAGAACGAGCTGGAATACAAGGGAAATGTGCTTTATGTATGTTTAAAATGTATATCAATAAGCAATTTTAAAATGTCAATGTGTTATTTTTCCTTCTCAATAAATAATATGATTATCTATCACAGACCAACAAAATCTTCTAACATTATCATGTCAAATGCAATGGGAAACTTAAAAAACATCATAACACTCACATGTTACCACCAAGCAGCTTAGAATTTAACGTAACAACTGCAGCTCCGATCCAAACTAATACAAATACTTCAGCAAACTCTGGGCCACCATCATTAGTGTTGTCAGCTACCTCTGTACCTTGCAGGATTGTGGCCATCAGGGTGCACAGCAGTAAAGGACCCCATAGATCCCCTGGAAACATTGGAGAAAAAACCTTATATCTTTTACTAAGTCAAAGTCAAAATCATTTATTTCAATTTGACCAGAAAGGCACCTTTTAATGTCAACAAAAAAAAATTAAAAGTGAAGCTATTTGCTCATTCCAAGGTGTAGATTTCTATGGAGAAGAACAAGCAAGAAACTCCATAGGTTACTCTTTTTCAATCAAGTTCACAATACAATTTTCTAGTTACATAGTTTTGTTGTTTGGATTGTGCGAGAACAATGTAACACTAAAATACAGTCAAAGAGATCGAAATGAAAAATAACCTTAAAGGACAGTAAAAAAAATACAGGTATACTATAAGGTACAATATACATTAACATAACAGAGTGGAGACATATTATCTACATTCTTAAAATGAACCTTATTAGCGTCGTTTTTCTTGGTTGTTAGATACATATTATTTATTACTAAGCTGCAAATAAAGCATAGGCAGATGTATTCCATTACTCCTTTGTAATAATCTACAACAAATATCATAGACACTTCAGTTGAAATATTGTATAATAAACAATATTATACTATGCATTATTATATTATTCAGCTGCTCCTACTAACATATTGAGTACGTAAACCACTTAAATAAACAAACTATCAATAAAGCTAGCAGAACTGTACTCAAAATGTATGTACTTTATAAAAAAAACTTTTAGTTGTTTCATTTCTTATCATTGTAAAGAGAAACGCCCATTACTCGCGATGTACTTAAGCTTGATAACAGTGATTAAAATCACTGATACACATCAAACAATTAAAAGACATTTGGAAACCAATTTTCTACATGGTAAGTAATAAGTATTCTATGTAAGCAATTTAGTGATGTATTAGCTAATCAACTAGACATAGATGGCACAAAACTACTTTTATAGCATTACATACTTACAAAGTTACCAAATATAAATGGAATCTAATATGGTACTCTACAATATGATTTTCAAATACATAAAATCTAAGTAACACCATCTTTGAAATTGGACTGTTCTTTTTCATTTTAATCTCACGAGCGCTGGTGAGCCATAGTTGTACTTCGTATAGACACGCGCGCTTGTGTGCGTAACTCGCAGCGAGCTCTCTCATTGGCAAACCGGCCAATGATGAGCGATCCCGAGCGACAACGACAATGTGCGTGTACATTTACTTACACAAGTACGGCGCACCCGTGCTCTCGAGATAAAACATCTGTAGTTTATATGAATAAAAAAGAAATTCTACAAATAAAATATATTTTGAATGGTTAAATAAATAAGATTGTAAATAAATTGATAAATAAAAGCTACTCACATTCCTTTAACAAGCTAGACTTCTCTCTAGGAATTAGTACATGGTAAAACTTATTTCCCACTGCTCTCAGATCTCGAAGCTAGAAATCATAAATTAAAACATTAATAATGGCTATGTGTTAATTAAATCTAGATTAATCAAAAATGGACAATTGTGAAATGAAAACTAATAATGATGAATTTAATACTGTTAATTATGAAATTAGTTTAGAAATAAACATTCCCAGCCTGAACGGAATGTTCAGCGCAGGCAACCTTATATTGTGAATTTTATATAGTTTAAATTAAATTATTTCACAGTATTTCTTTTAACAAACTATACTATGTACTATTGAAGTGAACAGAAACAGTGTTAATAAAAAATAACTCTGTAATTGAAGACTCAGAAGTTAGTCATCACACAATATTAAGTTTGCTTCATCTACACAAAAATAGGGCACTTGTCTAATAGCTCTATCCATATCTCACTGGATGTGCAATCTAAATTACAACAAAACGAATATATTGTAATACACCTCTTTGCTATGCTGGTAACTGGCAACAATAGCTAAAACTACATCTATATAAATAAAATTACAAGTCTAGTTTGAAGAATAAAAATGTTAAAGTGAATCCTATATTGTTGACGGCAAGGTTGATAAAATTAAAGTTGATTTAAGTATAAACAGATTGTTCAGCAAGAAATGAGTCTAATACCATAGATATTATGTTATTATAATGTACTTGTAATCATCTTTAGTAAGTCATATGTGCAATAGAACATGTTTGATTTTGCCACCAAGTTCCAGACTATGTATATTTGGCATGTTATATTTTATGAGTCCATCCATCCATAAGACCATCAGCATACTACTATAGGTTTAGTTAGACAACTTTATACATAAAAATTTAATCTTTAATTACCTTCACATTTTCACCGAGAACTTTATAATGAAAAATTGGAACAGAAAATGATTCAAGAATCAAATGCAGAAATCTCATGTTCAACAAGCATATGGTGGCTATTACAATCAATAAAGGACTCATTTTCATAAACCTTATTGTTTCATGATCTAGTTTGTAAACTAACAACAATACACCCAAGACCTACTTTAGAAATAGTAGTACATAATGTAATACATATTATATTGGTTCCCCAACTGATAATAGCCTTCATTATTAATAACTATTGATTGATTGATTGATAAAAACCTAAATGACTGTAACCATTTTTATCCTATTGAATTTCAATTCTAAAAAATTTTCAAGAATAATACTAATATTCTTTCATATCTACTAAGGTTCAATATTTTAAAATGAATATTATGTTTAAGGTAGTCTTTATCAGGTATTATTACTACTTACAAATGTTTCTTTGATGGGTTCATCTAGAGTGTTAAACTCCATACTGTCTCCTGAAGGTACACCCCTGGTGGGGATGTTCATCTCTCCCTCTACGACCCCTACATCCCCTGCAGGGTACATCTAAATAACAAGAAAAAGTACACTCATAGAATATCACACGAAAATTATGACTAAAGGTCTGCCAATGACAAACTAAATCAGCCAGCGTTTTAGAGGAAGTTTTGCGTGAGTTGGCATGATAAACATTTATAATAAATGTTTACTAAACATCATTATCACCCTCAGATCACATTAGAAAAATTAATTTTAGCGTAAATGCCGATGACTCATAAAAGATTATCTTTGGTTACAAATAAATTGGCAATATTATATGAACAATTCAGAATATTTTTCAACATTAAAATATCACGAAAATTACACTTGTGCTGATAAAATGCTTCTTTTTTTAGGGTGTAACATCAAAATCCAATAAGACATTCCATTGTGAAATTGTTTTATTTATATTGTAAAGGTATATGCTCATACACTTACATCGTATTTAGAGTCAAACGAGGTCATGTTTGATATTGTATCCACTATACTTTAACACAATAAAATATGGATAAAATAAATAAACTCCAACACATCAAACACTCTTTGAAGATTTTCCTGACATTTGTACAGTATTGCCTCTGCTCAAAACCTGTCAGAAATCACGTTTGGAAACATTGACAAATTATTTCAACTTAACAAGATAAGAAGTGTTGTTTAAATGTATATAAGACAAATAAGGCATTTAATTTTTATATTTCTACAGCTTTATTTTCGAACAGTGAAGCAGAAATAATAGAAAGAATTTGCTCATCATCATGTTTATTGTATCTGAATATCAATGTATCCGAAAATGGGTCTCAAAAAGTTATATGCAAAATTAAAAAAACTGTGTTGTCAACTTCACTACACTACTGTCAGTCAATATTTGTCAAATTTATCGATTGTTGTTATTGTTTTTAATTTGAATATTTTCGTTAAATATTTGTACTAATAAATTTTAATAACTTGCTCAAAAACAACTACAATTTAATTTAGATTTGCACGGTATGCAAGATTCGTGATATGAAAGTAACCATTAAAAGTAAGTAACCTTAATCTGTCAAACCAACGGCCAAGTAATCAGTTTCAGTTTGTCTATTTTATTGTTATTCCTATCCTATTTTCACACGAACGTTAATTGGGTAGGTTGGACGGGCGTAGCGACTTGGCGGTGGGTAGCTAACGACGACAACTGTGGCATTTGTCGCATGCCCTTTGATAGTTGTTGCCCTGACTGCAAGCTCCCTGGGGACGACTGCCCTTTGGTGTGGGGCACCTGCTCCCACTGCTTCCACATCCATTGCATCGTGAAGTGGCTGCACTCCCAACCCCAGCAACAGTGTCCCATGTGCAGACAGGACTGGAAGTTCAACAACAAATAGACTCTTACCAAGTAAGATAACTATTTTTGTTTTATTAATTTTGTCAGTAGAGGTCATTGTGTAATCCCTTTACGTAATCTGTATGATTCATTGCCAGTCTGCTGTCATTTATTGTTTGTAATAAGTTTGGTTTGTATTTAGTCTAAAAGCAATGAGATTCTAATACAGGCTTGGACAAGGGATAAATAAAACTAATTTCAACTCAGAAATTCAAAAATAGTTGATTCTCATAAACTGGGGAAAAGTGAATGTGATGTGACACTTTCAATATGATATGCACCTCAGCTTATGCCATCACAGAACCAAAGCTAAATTATTCTTTTGATCTCTGTTAAGCCCGCAGCTTTTAACATAATACGAACTTGTCGAATATACTAAGGATGTTGACGAAGAGGTAGACATAATATCACTTAGAAGTGATTGAAGTACCAAAATGTCAGTGGGTTATTTATGTGGACCACTTCATCAAACTTAAAAAAATGATGAATGTCCTTTGTGTCAAAGTGTGTATGTTCTGCATTGTAGTCTATAGTAGCCAGCTCCTACAGTCATTGTTTCAAGAGGCTTTGTCCGTCTTTTTTTATGGAATAGTAGACAAACAAGCAGACGGATCACCTGATGGTAGACTATCAGCGCCGCCCATGTACACCCGCAACACCAGAGGAGTCACAGGGGCATTGCCGGCCTTTTAAAAATGAGTTCACTTTTTTTTAACATCCTTGGAGTATACTAGTACTTCATGACATTAATATAATTATGTCCTTTTGGTTGAAATTTCATGCTAAAATTAGAAAAAAAAAATAAATGTCTTACCTAATATAATCTATGAATCTAGATTTAAAATAAATTCAAATTAATTGCAAATAGGTATAGTCTATTAGCAGCATTTTGAAAGTTTAAGAAATTCTATCGTATTATAAAATACTAGTAATTTTGTTACATAAAGGTGCTTATGTAATAAATAGATTTCTTAAATCCATAAAATAGTTTTTAATAATATTGAAAGTCTTTGTTATTATGCACAAAAACCAAATTGAATAAGTTTCAAATTAAAATTGGCATGTATAATGCAGTTCTTTTACATATGTATTTGTAAAGTCTATGTATTATTTTATTCACTTAATTTGCATAAGTATTTTAAATGTGTTATCTAATATAGTAAATGTATGACATCATCAAGTAACATGTTGTAGTGTCAAAAATAGTTTTAGTCTTAATCATACCTGTGTGTGTGCAAGTTATATTGTAAACAGAAACAGTATTATTTACAAAATTATGAGACATTAAACTTGTATTCATATCCCTCGTCAAAATTAGACTCAAATTAGAAAACAAAAAAAATGCGTTTGGGCATATACCTACATAAATTAAATGAGTCATTTAGGTCCATGTAGTACATACTTAAATCAATGTACAATGATACTTGAACATTTAAACCCTATAGGACAGTACAGGAGTTACAAAACATGTAATTGACAACAGATCTTCCAACCCAAATACTTATAAACAACAACTGTAGTGTAACATTTTGATTGGCAGAAAACAATAGGTCAGAGAGTGCTTTCAACATCATCAACAATAGCCATGTCGTGTGCGCCGCGGACCGGTAGCCACAGTTGCATTCATTCTCATAGTAAACAATCACTTTTACATTATTAAAAGTGTGGGTCAACTCATTGTTAGGCTGTATGGTACGTACTCCGCAAACTACCGAACACGCAATACCATGGTAAAGCTACGAACAAAGTCATTTTCAAGTCGGTCGGTAATTATTACGAAGTTGTGTGGCGTAGCGCTGGAGCGGCGGCGGCGTAGCGGTGAGCCGGCACGCCGGTGGCACGGTGAGGCAGTGAGTGCCGCGCGCCCGCGGGGACGGTCGTGTCGCCCTGCGTACAGAGCGCTCTCGTGTGTGTGACTTACGCGGTGCTTGTGTTACGTGCTCCTTCTACTATAGTACGTATATTATAGTATTGTTCGAGTGACGCTTACTTCAAGCATGCTGATGGTACAAACCAACACACAACCGATGAAGAGCAACAAGATCAAAGGACCACCTCCAGTGCCTCCGCGGCCTAACCAGAGCGTGGTGGCGGAGGCACTGGCAAAAACGAGGAAGGCCGTTGCGGACTCAAAGGCTAGCTTTACGAAATCGCGTGCCTTCTCCAAGCAGGAGAACCACTATACGTCAAGATCTAAAACTTTGGATAGAGCCAATACTGTCAGTGAGTCAACAGTGTCACCAAAACAAAACGGATTAGCAAGAGTGAAGTCGTTCATCAGAGATGTAATCAGCGATCGAAGCTCGTCTTCAGATGAAAGAAAATCCAGTGGTCAAAATTCTAGACGAAGCTCCAGCGACAGTAGTTCTATTCCAACTCCAACATCGAATAAAAAGTCTAATGAATCACTAAACTCTAAAGCAGTCAAAACCTGCAGACAAATATTAGTAAGATCTCTTTCAACATCGAATAAATTGGATCAAGACTCAAAATGCAAAGTATCAAAGTCGTCTAGTTTCGCAGAGAAAACTCTACCTTTACGAAAAGCACCTCCGCCTCCGTTGTCCCCAAAACCTAAGTTAAAACCAATGAAGCCTTTGCCTGTAAATAAAAGTCCTATACATAGCAGTAAAACTAAGATCTCACCAGACATAAGTCCTTATTCATCTCCAATTGATGCGAGGCCTCCACAGAGTCCAGTATCAGAAGCACCTTACGCGTCCGTGGAGGAAATGCAAGAGTTTGATGACAGGCTGAGAAACAGTCCGTCTAAACAATTGAACACTCCTAAGGAGATTCAACATGTTCCAGAAAGTCCGAAAGTTGATGAACATATAAACAAAAATACCAACTCATTGGAAAGAAAAACATCGAGAGTGACAGAAATGTTAATTTCAGAGATCATTGCTAGTAGAAATAACGAAAAAGACGAAGCGCACACCGTAATAGATAAGGGGAAAGAAAGTTTGAAGATTAACGGGCACGATACTCCAGACATGGAAAAGATGAAAGACATGAACAACCACGAGATGTTGATATACGAATTGCAAACGATGCGCTCACAATCTAACGTGCCAGAATCATTGGATGCACCGGAGTATGCAGAAACAAATGGACAGTGTGATTCCGAGGACTCTGAACAAAACTATGCCATGTCTTCAGTAACCAGCGGGAATACAGACGATGATCAGGCTTACGCATACATACTCGACGATGACCTCAAGTCTAGGTGTGTTTTCCATTAAAAACAACTTGAATATTTCTTATCTTATGAATTAATCGTTACATTGTATTTCCTTTTTGCTATGGGTGCGTTGTGGTTTGTGTGTAAAGGTCATACAGCTTCATTAAACCCGGCTGTAAGCGCCGATATTCTCGTCAATACTAGGTCGTTAAACTAAGAATACAACGCTAAAGGCAACTGCCATCTGCAGTTATTTACAATGGTAGAAAAATTTTGTGTAATTTCTGCAGTTTCATTAGTTGTACACGACATTGTGGTCATTTAATTTTATTCAGAACTTAGTCTTGGTTAATAATTACTACAAGTGGTATTTTTTGTAATTATAACTGTTTACACACTTATGTCCGTTTGAAAAAACCTCATAACTTGAACTTAACTGACTATAAATTTTACAGTGATCAACTTAAAATAATAGCTTTGGTCATTATCATTACCTTATTTCAACATTTTTGTGCAGACTTCGTAAGCAGTTCCGCGCAATCAGCACCATGTCTCTGCAAGGACTACCGCCTCTGCCGAAGAGTCTCAGTGGCTTCGCAGACGGTGAACCGGACCTCCAAGAAACCCCATCACCGCCATCAGACAAACCACCCACAGATCTCGACTCACAACTCGCTTATCTCAAGAAAGAAATGGTACGTTCTAATTTACTTTCCTATCTCTTCTCCCTTTACATTGTGCAATAGGTGGTTTGTTATCATTAATGTTTTACTAATTACGACGCTAATGTTGTTAGTAATTAAATTCTAGACATAATTTACCCTTCCCTACACGTCTCGCACGAATTTAACTGTTTCATAAATGGCGCGTTAATTTTAAACACACCATAAAATCCAACGGATAGTTAAACAATTTCAGGTTTTCCCAAACAGCAATAAAAATGCTTTTTGGCTGTCGAACGGCTGCGATGAACGAAAAAATGTCGACTTTACATTCCATCGCTTTATAAGGATACTTGTTGCGATCATGCCGGAATTACGAAAGTTCGTATCGAGAGCTGAACCGCGGGCATTAATGACAACAATTTTGTAGAAACTAGACGCAGAGACCGAAAATAGAATAACTCCCCAGTGTTTAATGCAAACATGGCAACATGGAATAAATAATGTACACACCACAGACACGAGCGCAGTTTAAAAAATAGATGTTGTTCATACATTTGGGCTTATCGGGCGTGTACCATACCCCGTACGTTGATACGTGCATGCTCCGTTTGCTTGGTCTTACGAGCGTGTTTGGCAATGTAGGAAACTGTAAATCAGGACGCCTATCGACACTTTTTATTGCTCATAATCAAACTAGCCATGGAAATATCGAACTAGGTTATATGTGTATAAAACTAATGTGCCGATTTAGATATCATTGTGGCTTATCTGCGTCGCGTGTCTATAATAAAAACAATTGATTGTATTATTCATTCAGCTAACAAATATTGCGTTTGTTGTTATTCACTGATCAATTATGAACGATTTGAAGCTTAATAAGTATCTTCAAGTTATCGTTAAAATTTTCTATCAGTGCCCTTTACTAAGCTTTGACTACAGTCATCGGAAATACCATAGTAGATGCGTGTTACATTTTTATACGACACGAAACCGCACTTACGGGGAATTGCAAAAGATAGACATTGACTAGTCGAACCTTGATCCCAAATTCCACCGGGCTTTGTGGAGGAATCTTAAACAAGCTTCTTAGAAACAGCTGACAAGTAACGTATAGATTGTGACGTATCATTATCGCATAGCACAACGTTCACATGACGCAAAAACTCGTTACATAGAGTTCCACTATCACGTACATTTGTAATGTCACAGACATAGACAAGCTTGACAATGAGTACAATGAGAAAGGCCTCACCAACACAATAGCGACGCAGGAGTACACGCTCAGTTGAATCTGTGTACGTGATATTGTTATTGGTTGAACTCTTGTAGGTCTTCCTAATCGTCGGTCGATACGATTCCTTCTCCGAGTCACGTCTGCTCTACGCATAATCTATAGCGTCCTGACATTGACGTCAGAACATATCTGACTTTATATTCATCACTATTGAAATATGATGAGGCTTCATATTACTTGGACATCCTCCAAATGTACTTAGGAATGTAAATAAAATGAATCCAGTATATTCAGCAGAAATATTTATCAGGAAATTACGACATCATGCCCATAATTGCGAGCACTTTATTCATGTACAAATCGGCAAAAAATAATGAAACTAAAACATTGCTGGTTTTTGCTCTAACTAATAAGTACCTACAAGCTAGGTAGTTTTGTGCTAATATTACACAAACTAGTCATGTCAGACGTGTCATAGTCTTGTGGCCGTGTATAATAAAGCCCGCTCTAATGGCAATTATCAACCATACAACCTTGAATAGTTCATAATCATTTGCATTCCGCGTTGTGTAGGATTTCACTACTTAATCACAGAGTTGCGTTTTTCCAAATACTCATTTTGCTATATAACCGTAAAACAAAAGTTAGGTACTTACAAAGCTTTCTAAAAAGATAATAACTTTCTCCTATAAAAGTATCGGAGAGCAAAGATTTCAGGTTGCCCTTCACGTTTCTTGATGATTTAGGCCTTGGCTTCTGAGTGCTTATTCTATATTATTATCTTGAATTTATCTTATTCTCCACGTGTAATGACCACGTATGTTTCATTAGCACCTGTCGTGTTGTGAGATGTTTTGTTATTTTCCTGCTTTATCTGAGAGTAAAAGAACCGTAATTGCTATGACACAACAATTACCTAATCTTCCCATACATGTGTTTATTGGTAATCTGTGTGGACGGCTACAATATCCCTAATACTGCTAATTGATAGATTGAATGCTTCAATGAATCGTCACATTGGGTTTTCGTTGGAGTACTCAGCCATGTTCTACGAAAAAGATGGGACGATTCGTTCTTCCGAGAGAGTTAGATCACTGTATCGTTCAACGGTGTACCTTTTATGAGCCAGTCACGATCTCTACTTCAAAGGATGTCCTTCTCAATACTTACCGTTTGGCTGAATAAATATAATAAACATGATTCAATTTCGAGTAGAGCTTGTCAAGTCAATTTCAAAATAAAACGGAAAATTTGGAACAAGTTTCGTTTCATTTCAAGATGTTCTATCGCTTTGAAATATGTTTTCTTAATGCATTTATTATGTTACACCTTGCAAATCTGCAGGTGTTCTGTTTAAAATTCTGGCACCTATTCACTATGCAGTTATAATCTTGGCTCCCAGCAAGCATACGGTTAAACGATCTACATTGCAAATTTTCTTCGAAACAGCTTTTATTCAATTCAGACTGTTGCAGTACTTGACCGAATTCGAATCAAAGCTGGCTACATACATACGTAACCTTACTCAAAATACTCTCTTAAAATTAATTGATACTCAAATCGATCGTAAATTGGAAGATGAAGAAGCTAAATTGATCCATCTTTATTCAGATGGATTTTTATAACGAGATTGTGGGACGTAATACCTACGTTTAATTTTCAATTTGAATGTAAAATGTTACGTTTTGTATGAGATTTTAACTGCATACGATGGATCCGGTTAAAGACTGTACAAGTTACGTGTACGTCGTAATCGCGTTTGCATTCGTAGATATGTTCGTTAACATTTGCGTAGGTGAGAAGCACATGGTAACTGTCTATCATTCCGTTTAAGTTTTTCTTTCTACATGTGTAGGCGATTGTTTATTGTCCCACGTATTTTTGTTTGTAAATAAAGACTAATGTAGCATGAACTACTTGAAGTGAATGCTGTATTTTTCGCCTGAAAAGTGTTAGTGCAAATGATGTAATATTGAGGTACCTATTATTATAGTACAGGTAGTTGTAAAGCAGCTGCTTGTCTGTAAATAGAAATAAAATAAAAATTCCATTTTTATGAGTCACCTAAGTAGAGTCTAGAAGTTCATAACACTATAAAAAGCCATGTAGTTAAATAGATAGTTATTTACTTTTAACATTCATGATAAAATGCAGAAATATCTTACTTACAAATAAACCACAAACTGGCTAGCATCAGCACTATAATGTTTTACATACTTTGCCCGTATACTGATTACTGTTATTAAGACTTGTCTGTATTTTTTAGCATATACTATATAATCAAATAATAACGAGGAAAATAAACAGGAATGAAGTCAGAAAATCCCCAAACAATGTTAGGCTAACGCCTTAAATGGCTTTGTAAAACAATGAATCAAATTGCACATGAAACCAATAAGTCTTAACCACACCATTAACATGTACATTACGCGGTCCAGAAACCTGATATTAAGTTAAACCGGTTTCTAAATCACGTTGCGATTCTTTAACGTGTGATTAAACACGCGCCTGCGCAGGTTGGCTGTCATGCGTTATGCCATATCCTTATATGAAGGAACGCTCGAGGCAATCCTGCAAAAACTTGAGTACGAAAAAAAAATTTAATAGGTGTAGATAGGATACGAGGTTTTATACTTAAGATGATCTGATGATAAGCTATAACTAACCCTTTTACCGGCATTGCAAATCGTAGCCGCGTTATTTGCTTGTGTCAGTTGTATTTTCCAATACTAGTAAACTCGAATTTGGTCTATAGAAAAGGTACTACTAGAGGCAAACTACAGTAGCACTGGACATCGATTGAACGGGTTAAATATTTATCATAGAACTCAGCTACGATTTTTTCATAACCTTCCTCGTCCAGTCAACAATGAACCTCGTTGACCGGTCACCCACGTCCGTCATACGTACCACGAGTTTTTGCCGCAACAACAGTCCGTAAACGATTCTTTGAACCATCATTGTGATGGTGCTGATTCAAAACGTGACGATAACACGCTATTGTATTGTATTTTGACTCAATTGCCATTTTCCTTGTACGATTTCAGAGATCATCAAAATCAAATTAGGCGATTAGTTTCATTGTAAAACAGTTACATGAGTACCTAAGTGAAGTCCAATTTATTCCTGCAATAAAATAGCACAAGATCACAAAGTTAAGTCAGTCAATCTCACTACTTCCAAAAACTCGAGACCTCTTCACGTGCCCTTTAAGCTCTCAAAGAATGAAAACTTCTTATCTGGACATCCGAAAAACGCCAACTTTCTATGTTTGTACGACATTCTCCCACGCAATTGTTTAACACAATCATAAACAGTATGTTAAGCTTTTACTTACAAGTTACAAACATATTGTAAGCGCTCATAATTTTGGAACGAATCATTATCATTTTTTAAATAAATCTACATTTTTAATCTACGATAAATATTTCCAAACATGAAATCCAATTTGCGCGAGAGCATCCATCCTTTCACGCTGCATAAAACGGATTTTACAGCTAAGCCACAGCGTTTAAGAGCACTAATTAAAATGCCAATAAATCGTTTAACTAATAATGCCGACGTAATTTAATCGGAGCGAAGCTTCGGAGCGCCTTAAACGCCTGTAGAATGTAACTAGTGACGATTGATGGCTCTCCGATGTTACCACTAACCCTCTACCCGCATTGTCTGTCGCATCTCCACATCCGCGTTGGCAACCAACATCAGGATGTTAACCCTTACTACGAGAATAACTCGCCTAAATGACACGATCACACGAGTTCGGTATCGTTCGTGTCCTAGCTACCGTGTCTAA